CACGTAAGACCGAAAGTAATCAGCGAATTAGCGTAATTAGCTTTTGCAAAGTCATCTTCAACTTGAACACCTTCTGATGATGTTAAGTTGGGAATGTTATCGAATAGTTCGAGTTTCTTTTCACAGTAGTTGAAAAATCTCTTACTGTTTTTGTGCAAGGCTATTCTCTCTTCCTTCACAAGTTGATGACGGAGCAGTAACCTTCGCAACCTACGCGCGTATGAGGCACATTTTGAGCTATTCACTGCGCTCGATGAGAAATTGTGTCTGATTTTAGCCTGCAGAACATGTACGCGTCTGGGATAACTCGTTGATCTTTTTTGTGCAGCACCACTGGTATACACTTAGCGAACAAATAATGGCAGACGCTCAAAAACTTTGTGTAGAGCAAATCAGAGCTACTAGATACATTATTCAAGTTAACCCAGTCGACTTGCGAGAGTTCAGACATTATACCATCATAATTTCCCATCACGAAACATCGGCAGGACCTGGCCGGAGGTGGGGACTGGGAGAAGGAGAGGAAAATGTGAATTTGACAGTATTGTGGTCAGAAGTGCTGAAAGGAGGAAGTACACGTGTCCTTAATAAGTTCTGGTTTAGAGACCAGAATGACATCCAAAATTTAAGTCCATACGTTGGAACATTGACCATTTGTGTGAGGTTAAAATATTGTGAAAAACGGAGGAAAGAAAGCGACGATGGCTCATTGACCTCCCCATTCATCGAAGAGCTGATGCAGAAATGCAATGATTCTGAGAATACAGCTGAGGGACATGAAGGACTACGGTAGCCGAGTACGAAGGCAACTTTATCGTCACAAATCTTGAATTCAAACACCAGTGCTTGTAAAAATCACTAGAATTTTTTTCGCAGGGAGATTGTGTGAAAGGTGCCTGTGAATAAGGGCAAGTACCCCACCGCCGGCCCTGATGCCCACCCTGTCACAGCGGTATACTTCATACGTGGAATTATAGCTAAGTATCGCCTCATGGATAGAATGCGGTTTACACCAGCTCTCACTAGTGAAAACTGCTGG